TGCATAGATAGATACAGAGATACAGGGATATGCATTGCATATGGCACTTATATGTTGTATTGTAGCAATTTGTTTCCTACCCTTCTCCTTCACTAGGCGGTGATATCCCTGGAATAATTGTGTATTTTTCATCTTCTTATTTCCATCTCCAACTGGCACACAACAAGTCATTCTGAATCCTTCTTAATTCCTGTAGACATTGATTATTGGACTAATCCTCATGTTTTGATTACAGTTCAACCTTCTGCATCCACTGTCCCTTGAGAGAGAAAATGGGCTAACCAGAGGCTCTATCTAGGCTATCCTCTGGCAGTCAATTCCAGCTGTGAACCAGAAACTCATGAAAATTGGCTCATTCTCTGCCAGTGATGAGTGGACTAATATAAATTCTGATTCTATGAGAATGAGGGAACCCCATGAAGTGTTCACTTAGGCTTCAACCTTTTTTTCAAATGGTATGACTCTATCATGGAATAAATGTCTCCAAGGAGTTGACAATGCACTACCTCCATAATGATGCATAATGATGTTTGGATAGGAGAAACCTATAAAGTTATTTTATTATATAAATTACTTCTAAACCTTACCCCTTTTGAATAATAAATATATGGATATTTTAATGATATATTAAAACGACAGAAGCTAAATTTCAAATAGCATATTTTGGAGCCCAGCACAGTGACACATGCCTGTAATCCCAGCAACTTGAGAGGCTGAGGCAATGGCATCATAAGTTTAAAGTCTGCTTTAGAGATTTAGTGGGTCCCTAAGCAACTTAGTGAGACTCTGTCTCAAAATAAATAAAATAAAATAAGATAAAAAGTTTTGGGAATGTGGCTCAGTGATTAAGTGCCCCTGGGTTCAATCCTTGGTACCTTCTGAACCCCCAAATCAAATAGCATATTGTATTGAGTTGATGTATATTTTATCTTTACCATTATAGGCTGTTAAGTAAAGAGAAAAATATTGAGATTTTAAACTACAGGTGAAGGGACCCATCATCCTGTGAAGTTGTATAAAATGGTGATTTGGAAGCAGGATGCTGAAGCAGAGGCCGCCTAGATTTGTATCTTTGCTCTATTGCTTAGCAGCTGCATGTCCCTAAACTACTTGCTAAATATTTCTGTGCCTACTAGTTACCTAATCTGTGGAATAATAATGAAAATATTATCTAGCTGACTGCTGTTGTAATTAAATTAGTTAATGTGTGTAAGCAACCTAGGATATTTCCCACCACATCATAAATGTTCAATAAATGTTGGTGGTGGTTGTGTTGATGGTGGTGGTGGTGTGAACATTGGCAGTGGTGGTGGTGGTGGTATTTATGAGAACAATGAATGCACTTTAAACATCTTGTGAGAATATCAATAGATGAGAAAATGTTATGACTGTTTCAATTAGGCTTGTAAAGGAAATAGCTAAAGGCAAGCAGAATGATGATAAAACTGATCTGAATTTTATTTCCAATGATTCCACATCTAAGTTCCCATTTCCATATAAAAATATCAGAGAATCACATAACATTTATTAGACTGATATCCAATGATATCTATCAGGAATCAGAGGAGAAACAGAAATATAAAAAGTTTACCAAAAGGGAAGGGAAACAATTGCATATATATATACAACCATCACTCAGAAGCTATTTTACCAAAAAAGAAATATTTCTCACCTGGTTAAGTTAAAATCTAAGCGTGAATTTGTCCTCAAACAAATATAATTTACAAGTGAATTAACAATTTTTTAAAAGTCAAAAATAAGATAAGAAAAAATAATGAGTTAACTTTAAAAGTAAAAGTATAAACTTTAAAAGTAAAAGAATAAATTAACTTTCCAAAAGAAGTCTGAGATATGCCAATACTTTAACAGATGGATTCATTACAAGTACTTATGAAAAATCACAAACCTTGCTGGTTGTGGTGAGATCTACCTGTAATTTCAAGGGCCTGGGAGGCTGAGGCAGGAGGATTATAAGTTCAAGGTCCTCACTAAGCAACTTAGGGAGACCCTGTCTCAAAATAAAAAATAAAAAAGTTTGGGGATATAGTTCTGTGGTAAAGCACTGCTGGGTTCAATCCCCAGCACCAAAAAAGAAAGAAAAGAAAAAAAACTCACAAGCCTTCAGAGAAATGGATACAAATGTAACATTTTTCTAGATTCCTTATAATGTTGATGTTAGTATAATGTCACAGATATTAGGTTATAAAACAAAAAATAGGTCTCTTAATATATGAAAAAGATTTTCTCTTTGCTTTATATTATCTTTAGGTCTCAAAATTTCTAAAGTGCCTTGGGTGTTCAGTCATGTAAACCATGATCCACTTACAGAAACATAGGAAGGCATGCAGTAACATACATACCCCAATTTCTTGAACCCTTGTATCAGAAAACAGACAGATCTTCATAGCAATGAGAAGTGATGGTAAATGCCCTTTAGAGGATTCATTCATTCAGTAGAAAAGCATATGGACAGAGGAATACTGTTCAATTGTAGAGTTTTTTTATAAGTGACATTAAAAATTATAGATAAAGTATAATCATGTGGTTATGAAATAACCAGATCTTAGTCTCAGATATTTATTGTTGCACTGCAAATAAATAAGAAACTGGAAATGACATATGATCACAAGAAACTCATGACAATGAAAAGAGCAATGGCCTCATTTGTGTAACTTCTCGTTGGGGTGAGAAACGGAAAGTCCATAGAAACCAGAGGAGCAGTCTGTTAGCAGAAAGCTCAGGAATTCAAATCAACAAGTGGGCTTAGATATATTTTTAATTTTTTAAATCTAACTGTAAGGAAACCTGATTTTCATCTTAAATTTATTATGTAACACCTCTATTCCTGACTATGGCCATCTATAAAATGAATAGGTTAAAAAAATGATCTCTCCAATTACCGTTCTAAAATGCCACAATTCTTTGTCCAAAGGATGAGGTAGGAAGGTAGATACTAAAGAATGAAGGGAAGAAAAAAAGGGTAACCACGTATTTAGTTATTATGGCAATTTGCTAGGTAGTTTGAATAAAGAACATAAACAAATTCCAAATGGGAGAAGGAGTAATACACTCATTTCCAAGTCTAAATAATTAAATGCACTGCTTGGCATCTTTTGAGGTTTAAGAATATTGCAAGTAGTGGATTAAAGGTGAAAATTGGCTTTTGTTTGAAACATTTTACATTATAATTACAAATAGAATGACCAGAAAGCGTCTCTTAGTTATGTTTAAAAATTATCAAAGTAAAAATACTCACTGTGTTGTCATTATGAATATTTAATGATTTATGTTATTAACCAGTGCAAGGTCTGTAGCATGGGAAGTCCATTACTAGATCACTGTCTCCTTACTTGGTGAGGGTACTAGAGATACACAAGAGCATGGTAACATACCTAAATGCAAGCTAGTGCACTAGATCAAAAATTTTAATGACTTCATTTTTCCCATTGTCGTTGAGTGTAGAGTTGCATTTTGGTTTAGAGTGTTTAGGACATCTTCCTGTAACCCACAAGCTGATAGAAAATTTTCCTCATTGCTGCCTTCATCTCCTTGTTCCTAAGTGTATAGATCACTGGATTCAAAAAAAGGAGTGAGAACTGCATCTAAGATCGCAAGAAATTTGTCCACATGTGATGATGGGAAAGGCCAGGTGTAGAAGAAGATCAATGGCCCAAATAATAAAACTACCAAAGTGACATGAGCTGGTAAAGTGGAGAGGGCCTTGGATAAACCACCTGAGGAGTGTTTTCGAACAGTAACCAGAATGAAGATGTAAGAAATGATCAGTATGAAGAAGGACCCCACAGAGATGAGTCCACTGTTGGCCGTGACCATGAACTCCAGTCTATCAGTTTTTGTGCAAGCAAGTCTAATGAGCTGAGGGAGATCACAGTAGAAGCTGTCCAGTACATTCGGGCCACAGAAGGGCAGGTCTACAACAAAAGCCAACTGGGCCACTGAGTGGATGAGGCCAAGGATCCAGGCAACAACCAAAATGAAAATGCACATCCGTGGGCTCATGATGGTCAGGTAGTGCAGAGGCTTACATATGGCCACATATCTGTCAAAGGCCATGGCTATGAGCAGCACCATTTCTGTGCCCCCAATGACATGAATAAAGAAGATCTGAGCTATGCAACCCCCAAAAGAGATTGCTTTGTGTTTTCTAAAAAGGTCATAAATCATTTTGGGAGTCGCAATGGAGCAACCTCCCAGGTCAAGAAACGAGAGCTTGGCCAGCAGAAAGTACATGGGGGAGTGTAGGTTAGGGTCAGAAGTCACAGAGAACAAAATGAGGAGGTTTCCTGTAAGACTTGCCAGGTAGAACACAGAAGAAAAGAGTAAAAGTAGAAGCTGGATCTCCCACGAGTTGGAAAGTCCCAGGAACACAAACTCAGACACCACAGAGTGGTTGGCTCCATCCATTGTCTCAGAGAGCAGACCTGTCTCAAGCATTACCTGATAAAGGAAAGTAACAACAACAACAAAAAAAATCAAGCTTTGTAGGGACTCACGGACTACATGAGTTTCAACTTGTAAGGAAAAAATACTGCCTGAGCAATGACAAACCCTTTTGCCATTCAACTATAGCTGCAAAAATAAGCCACTGCTTCTAACTCCCAGACTCTCTAAAATTTTCCGGGTTTGAAAAAGACATTAGGCCAAATAAAATAAATAAATAAATAAATAAATAGATAAGGAATCAGAAGATCATTGGAGGACTAGGAATTCTCTGGAATAATATGATGATGGAGGGGAAAGGGTATGGAAATGAACTCTGATTTCTCCTTCACTGTTTATTACTCTTGCTCATGGAATTCCCCAAACTTATGTCTTTACTCCTGTATGCAATGCTAGCACTCTCATTAATACTCCCTCATGTTTAGCTTCATGATATTCCTGTTTTATCACATCATATTCACTTTTTCCTCATGAGGAGAGGAGATAATATAGAAACCCTAAAATTCCCCTTTGGTAGGTCAGTCCAGGGTGTAGAGGGATTACACAGCCTGGGCTGTGACAGCATTCTGGTACAGTACAAGGTCAGAAAAGAGATTCATGGTGAAGAATCTAAAGATGGATGGAGTAAAAAAAGGATAGTAAACAAAATTACACAAGAATGATACTTGCAGATCAACATCCATGCCATATTAACTTTTGCTGGTTCCTGGAATGGTAGAAAGAAAGAATGTCACACTTCAATCAGAAGAAAATGAACATGTCCTATCCCTGCCCTGAGGGAATTTGAGTACTGGGTTCTTTCTACCATCCCTCCAAACTCAACTCACTTCCTGAACCCAGTTTCATCATCTGCAAAATAAAGGGGCTGAGGCAGGTGACATTAAGGAATCTTTTCAAGTGTAATGTTTTTATTATTTTATCATTCAGTGCTAGTCTGCTCTGTAATGAAGCTCACCACAATATTGGTATTCTCTTCACTGAACTGCTAATATATTTGCATTTTTTCCCTTGTTTGTAGTTGGGTGTATCTCATATTCCATAGAAGGCCCTCTCTTCAAATTAATCTCCCTCTTATCTAATTCACTCTGTGACTTGATTAACAACATTGCAAATCTGTTGTATCATTTATTTTGTAGTTTATCACAATCATCAACAAATAATCAGCAAACATCTATTAGATGTCCATCATCCTCAGTGGACACTCTGAACTTCATGAAGTATATTTAAGGCTTTTGCACTTTAGCACAGACATACAAAATGTAAAAATCAGTAAAAAGTAAACTATTTTAAAACATCAAATAAGGCTATTCTTGGTGGTGCACACCTATAATCCCAACAATTTGGTAGGTTGAAGCAGGAGGATCTAAAGTTCAAAGAGTTCAGTAATTTATCAAGGTCCTGAGCAACTATAGAGACACTGTCTCAAAATAAAAAATAAAAAGTTGTGGAATGTAGCTCAGTGGCTGAGCACTGTTGGGTTCAATCTTCAATACAAAACAAAGTGAAATAAATAATATGATCATATGATTTTTTGAAACAGAAAAGGTTTGTGATTGGGGTGTGTCTTCAGAGCAAAATCATAATCTGTGCTGCAGATTAAGTAATGGATCTAATCTAGCTCAATAAACAGCATCATAACTAAGCTTAAATAATTACTGAATGATTCTGGCCGGGGGGGGGGGGGTGTGGATGATTACTTAAAGAGCTGCTGAATCATCCTCCAGTCTGCAACAGTGGTTGGTGAGCTCTCTATGGAAATAACGATAACTAACAAAAACAAAAACAGTGACCACCATGTGCAAAACACCATAATTACTTCTTTAGAGACACAATCCTCTTTGATATCTATGAAAACCATGAAAATTGGTATTATTGGCTCCTTTTTACAGGTAGAGAAATGAAGACCAAGGAGGAGAAGTAAGGTGCCAGGCCAGGAGTGAGTGGTAGAACTGATACTGATGCTCTCACTGCTCTCATCCAGCATGTACAGCAGATGGCTTTTACTCTTCACTTCACAGTTGATTGCATACCAAGACCCTTTCTGGGTGCCCCATGTTCTACTCTCCTCAAGTGTTCACAGCCTGTGGGTTTCTTAAGCCATTTCCAATGTATCTATAATATATTCTTTCTTTTTAAATGAACATGGTAGGAGAATGCAAATCCATAGAAAACCTGCTGTGCTTTTAGACCCCAATGTCTTGTTCCTCACAGAATCCTTTAGCTTTTCACAGAAGAGACTTAGTTCTTACCTTCTCTAGTGAACTGACAAAGAAGCAAAGGCACTCTGTCTCTATATCCTGTAGAATGCCATCTCCCTCTTTTGTAATTCATTTTGTGACTCAACTAACATACCATTGCAAATTGGCTGGATCATTTATTTGAATTGATCATGATAATTTGTACTTGATCAACAAACATTTGCTAGATGCCCATCATGCCCAGTGGACACTTTGAACTTACTAAAATATAAAATATTCCTTCCCTTAGGCTTTCACATTTTTAGCACACCTATAATATGTCTCTGTGTCAAAAATGAACTCCAGAACTAATGCAAGTAGATTCTGTTCAAACTTCCAAGACTTTCTCCTTAATGTTTTTATTCCCTTTCTCTGACTTCAACCTTTAATTGATGTGGATTTTTAAAAGACAGGAAAGAAATGTCAGTTTCTGTGTTCTTTTCCTTCTCATTTTATTGATGTTTGCTCATTAAGCTCTGCTAAAGCTGCTTCCCTTGTGCAGGCAGGTAATATTTAATTCATTTCTTTACAAAATAATACCATCACTAGAAACATCTATTTAATAATACTTGCCTTTGGGGACTTCAACACTGTACTCCAATATCCCTATTTCTGTATTTGCCACCAATCTACTCATTTAAAGACCAATGGTGTAACTCTTTCCAAAACATAACCACACATTTATCTGGTCAGATCTAGCATTACTTTATGCACAAACATCTTTAAAATGCTATTAATGTGGGAGATAGAACTAATTGGAACACAGGGGAATACTGACTAAATGATTTAGCAGAGACGGGATCACCAACATGAGACTTGGGATCACCAATATCTATCTAAGTGAATTGTCATCCAGAACCTGACAAGCCAATGGATAAGCTATAAGTGAGTCAAAAAGAGGGAGTGGAGGCAGAGATAAAAATGTTAGGATATAAAAATTAAAAACTATATAAATGATAAGGTAAACCTAAGTGGCATCATACTCTGAAACCTAAAGCAGAGGTTTATGTTTGCATCTCTAGGGGTACTTGTTTTCAAGTACTCATAAAGAATATACAAAGGAACATATATTAAATTGGCTGCAAATTGGTGCAGCCAGTATGGAAAGCATTATGGGGATTTCTTGAAAACCTGGGAATGGAACCACCATTTGACCCAGCTATCCCTCTCCTCAGTCTATACCCAAAGGACTTAAAAACAGCCTTCTACATGGACATAGCCACATAAATGTTTATTGTAGCACAATTCACAACAGTTAAACTGTGGAACCAAGCTAGATGTCCTTCAGTAGATGAATGGATTAAAAAATGTGTCATATATACACAATGAAATATTAGTCAGCAATAAAAGAGAATAAAATCATGGCATTTGCAGGTAAATGGATGGCATTGGAGAAGATAATGCTAAGTGCAGTTAGCCAATCCCCAAAACAACAAATGCCAAATGTTTTCTTTGATATAAGGAGGCTGATTCATAGTAGGATAGGGAGAGGGAGCATGGGAGGATTAGATGAACTCTAGATAGGGCAGAGGGGTTGGAGGGGAAGGGAGTGGGCATGGAGTTATACATGATGGTGGAATGTGATGATCATTATTATCCAAAGTACAGGTATGAAGACACAAATTGGTGTGAATATATTTTGTATACAACTAGAGATATGAAAAATTGTGCTCTATTGGGCATGTGGAGGAAGCTTAAATGCATATATCAAAGTCAGAGAAACCAACCAGAAAATAGAGACAGTAAAAGGATCAGAGGTTGTCAAGGGTTGAGCGGAGAAGGAATAAATACGCAACATAGAATTTTAGAGTGGTCAAACTACCGTACAGTAATGTAATAAATCATGTTATATGTTTTTATGTTATTGGCATTTGTCCAACTCCATAGAATATATTTAATTGCCTTTCCAATGGGATTATGTGGGACCTTGAAGAGATAATTAGGTCCTTGTGCATCACCCTCATGAATGGATTAAAGCCATCATTTTGGGAGTGGGTTAGTTATTGTAGGAATGAGTGAGTTATAAAAGGGGGGGAGTTTGACCCACTTTTCTCTTATGTGCATGCTTTCTTGACATGTGATACTGCCTACCATGTGGGTTGGCAAGAAGGCCCACATCAGATACAATCCCTCAATATTGACCTTCCTAGCCTCCAGAACCATGAGCCCAATAAACATCTTTGTGTTGGGAGTCTTCTAACTTCTTTCTTCTAGTTATTTATAAAATATATATCACATTTTTCTAAGTTATAGTTTCTCTACTGTACCATAGAACATTCAAAATTATACTTCCCAATTAACTTTATTTTGGATCTGTTATCCAACTTTCTTCTATCCCTTTTCCTTTTCTAGTTCCTTGTGTTGCATCACTATGTGCTTATTTGAAATCCTTTTTTAATATGAGCACTTTTTTTCTATAAAATTCTCTCTTGTTAATACTACTTTTGTTGTATCTTATACATTTTAGTATGTTTTGTTTCCATTTTCATTTGTTTTGAGAGGTTTTAGATTTCCGTTTTGATCTCTTTGATAACACAATGTACCTTCACAATATGTTGTTTAGTCTCTCTGATTTTGGACAATTTATGAAGTTTATTTTTTTGGTTGATTTGTATGTTTAGTCCACTGTAGTTGGAAATGATACATGCTATGATTTTTAAAATTTGTTGATGATCTTTTGTGGTCTAATATGTGATCTGTTCTAGAGAATGTTCCATGTGTTGATGAAAAAAATGTGTACTCTCCGTTATGAAATGTAAATGTTGTTAGATCCATTAGATCCACAATATAGTTTAATGTTTATTTGTTTATTTTTTAATATGGATGATATTTCCATTCATGAAAGGGGGTCCTGTAGTCTTTCATTTTTATTATATAGTATCATTATATTGGATCCCTTAATATTTGTTTTATACAATTGTGTGGTCCATTTATAATCATTTTATTTTTTGTTAGATTAACCTTTTTATCAGTATATAATGACATTTTTGTCTCTTTTTATAATTTTGAATTAAAGTCTATTTTGTCTGATAAAACAGAGTTACTTCTGCTCATTTCTGGTTTCTATTTGCTTTGAATAATTTTTTTCATCATTTCCGTTTGTGTGTCTTTACTGGCTTAGTGAGTTTCTTGTAAGTTGCCTAATACTATATATATAAATAAATCATCCAGCAATCTGGACCATTTAATTGAGAAATTTAGGTCATTCATGATCAAGGTTGTTATTGGTAAATAAGAATATACTCTCGAAAAACCATCCTATTCATAATAATCTCAAAAAAATTGGGAAATGGAGCCAATGAAGTTGGCTGTATGTGGACTGAACCTCTGAAACCAAGAGTTCCAAATAAACTTTGTTTTCCTTTAAGTTGTTGTTGCAAGCTTTTGCTCACAGTGACACAAAAACTAACTAAAAAACTTGGCATTCCTATTTGTTTCAAGAAGCAAGACTTCCAGTCATAGGACACTGTAGAGAATACAAAATTTATAGGCTCTTAGACTTACTGACACTGATGTCTATCTTTGGTGTTAGAGTACATCATACGTCAGCTTAAGCTCAACTCAAAGGAATAAGTTTCACAAATTCTGCTCTAGTTTTCTGCATTCCTTCAATACTTCAGGACCAGTGGCTCCCTCACTCCAATCCGCACAATGTGAAATGTCCCAGTACAAGCAGTAAACTGATTCTGATTTTCTGTGTTTGTCTTCCATAATCACACCAGAGATTTAAATTTTTGTGGTCCATGCTATGCTATGTTGTGTTCCAGAATTATCAATTATTGAAGGTCTCCAATTGGGCCAGAGATTACAGGTTTTGGTGTTCAAGAGTTCACATGTTTCCTCACATAGTTTTCTTTGAAATATAAAAACAATGGTTATTGTTTAGGAAATAATTGAGGTAGAAAATTGTCATAAACATTGAGTAGTATAGAATTTATTTTATTGTCAAATAATGCTTACTCATTTGTGTCTCCATGATTTACCCAAATTTCATTTTCTAATTCCAATTCTAACTAAATTTTAAAACCTTAGTGCTACCTAAATCTGTGAAGGGAACAAATTCAGATGTGAAAAGCCTATAATTGTTAGAGCTGGCTAGGCAATTATCAGCATTTTTTTTATTCCTCTAGATGAGAGAATCATAGGGCATGAATATAGTTAAATAGGTATATTAAAAGAGAGATGTCTTTGAGAGTCATTGTCAAATAGAAGAGTGTCCAACATTAGGAATGTTAACTATGCCTAGTATGTGTGGTTTCAGCAATCACTGTCCCCAGAGTCTTCACTGACAAACAAAATTTCCAGTAATAAACATTCCAAGGCTGAATTAACTCCTCAATGTTTTCAGAATTCTTTAAGCAAGGGTTCCCTAGAATGGACTGACTGCATCAAAATAAAGTCCTTAAGGATATGGTTCATATTGCATATTTAATTAAATTGAAAATATTTTTGAAATCTTTCAATTAAAATATTGCTTTCCAAAAATTGCCAAAATGAACCCAAACTTCTTAGACTGCATAAAAGAACTCTTCCTAAAACTTGTTAAAGCCTTAACAAAGAATCTCCTCATTGCCACTTTCATCTCCTTATTTCTAAATGTATAGATGACAGGATTCATAAAAGGAGTGATAAGAACATCAAAGATAGCTAAAAATTTATCTATGGGTAAGGTAGGGAATGGCCACACATAGACTATGATGCAAGGACCAAAGAAAAAAACCACCACGGTAATGTGAGCTGAGAGAGTGGAGAGGGCCTTGCAGGAACCTCCTGAGGAGTGTTTATGAACCGTGACCAGGATGGAGATATAAGACACAATCAAGATGAAGAAGGTGCCCATGGAGATGAAACCACTGTTGGCAGCGACCAGAAACTCCAGTCTGTATGTATCTGTACACGCAAGTTTGATAAACCGAGGAAAATCACAGTAAAAGCTACCCATTTTATTGCTCCCACAAAAGGGCAAGTTTACAACAAAAGCCAGTTGGACTACAGAGTGGACGAGTCCAATGGTCCAAGCCACAGCCAAAAGAGAAGTGCACATTCTCAGGCTCATGATGGTCAGGTAGTGGAGGGGCTTGCAGATAGCCACGTATCTGTCATAGGCCATGACAATGAGCAGCACCATCTCTGTCCCTCCCACAGTGTGAATGAAGAACATCTGTGTGATGCACCCTTTCAAGGAGATGGCTTTATGCTTTCTGAACAGGTCATAAATCATCTTTGGAGTGGCGATGCTGGACACTCCCATATCGATGAAGGAGAGATTTGCCAGCAAGAAGTACATTGGGGAGTGTAAATGATGGTCTGAGATGATGGTGAGCACAGTGAGAAGGTTTCCCAGCATACTAGCCGCATAAAATATTGTGAAGAATACAAAAAGGAGAATCTGAAGCTCCCAAGAACTGGTGAGTCCCAGCAACACAAATTCAGACACCGCTGAGTGATTTCCTCCATTCATCAACTTCATGTGCAAGATTGACCTTGATGTTCTTGTTACCTGAGGAGCACATGAGGCAGGAAAAGTTTTCAAGTTGAAAAGGACACACTGGCTATAGAGTAGTGACCCAGATGTCAAAAACTGATGGTCACCTTGCCATTTTACAGTTAAGATTTCGCACTGTACTTGAGTCACAGAGAGCTAGCCCCAGAAACTTTTCCCATGTCTTGGTCTTTGGTGTCATTTAATCATGAATCCTCAGTTTTAGCTTGGTCTTTAGTGTGTCATCAGGAAGGTAAAATGTGAACAAAGGTACTTAAGATTTTAAGAAATCTATCAGGGAATGTACAGACTTTTACTTCCTAATTCCATGTGGAAATAATGCTACAAAAGGAGAAAATTATTTATTTACTCATTTATTTTATGATATGTAGGTGCCTTACAACATTCTGGAGTTTTGTTTTTCATGAAATATTTTGGGTTTTCTAGGTTTGCAATCATGTCGTCAAGAAAAAGATAACTCTAATTTTTGCAGCTTTAAAATTTTATTAATCTCATTATCCCCTTACTAACATGGAAGTCCTGTATACTTTTCTGTTCTTTTGATACTTACCATCCTTTTTTCATTACACATTTCCCTCTTCTTATTTTAAAATAAGAGACCAACTAGTTCACATAGTAGTATGTCCTATTTCTTTCCTATCTTTTCACATCAACCAAATTGAGAACTTCAAAATACTTTTATTTTCCTCCTTCTTACCTCCTCTTTTCAGCTCAGATCAAGTTTTTTTTTATCCTTTTGTAACTACTGTTGGTTTTGCACTTTATGCTTTCTGAATCTATCCTGCCTATTTTTTTTTTAACATTTTCCGCCTCATTATCTTAATGCTATGTGCTTTAAGATACCCATTGCTCTGACTTTAGCCTTGGTTTGAATTTCAGGGATAATCACCTTTCTTTAAAGTCTACTTCTGAATTGTTCAGCTCTGGAGTGTCTAGTCTATCTTGCACTTGAGTCTCCTTACATGCTATTATTATGTTTTATCCAACTTAGTATCTGCTTCTTGTAGCAGTCCTGTATCAAAGATCAGACTAAAACTATGTGTACTTAGTATGTTCCTTATGCATATAAAGGATTTTGCAAGAATTTTGGAAGTCATCCATTTCAACTGTTTGATTTCAAGATTCATTCAGCATGTACAGTTGGATATTTTTCATTCTTCTCTCTCGAATTTAAAACACAATGGTAGACTTGTTAAGTATTGTTGGAATAACTTGAGTTCTACAATAGAAAAGTACATACACATCTGTGAAATTCATAAATATCATGTTATTGGTGTTTGAAGTAAACTATAACTCAAATAACAATATTCTTATTTATTGCTTCATGATTAAATGAGTAAACAAAAGCTGTCTTAAGAATACGATTCTTTTTAAGGAAACAAACTTAAAATCACACTCCTTTCAAATAGTTTGTCACAAGGAAGTCTGATCTTGAAAACAAGTGACATTTCTTCAAGATAACAAAAAACTAGAATTTAAAACAAAATTTAATCATTTATCCAAATCTAATTTTTTGTATTATGTAGCTTACATAAAGTAGTTTATTCATTTTTTTCTTATGTTCAATGATCTAGAAAGACAAATGTAATGTATTTGTTAAAAATGAAGAATCACAGTATGAACTGCTGGGTTAAACGTGACTCAACCACCTACCCTATCAAACCAGTTACTTCAGCTCATTGTATCTCAATATATGTATCCATTACATTGGAATTAATAATAGTTTGGGTCGTAAAAGTTGCTATGAGGGGCCAGGAAGTTAGCTCAGTTGTAGAGTGCTTGTCTAGTTTAGGTGAGGCCATGGGTTTGATCCCAGGTACTACAAGAAACAAAGTTGCTATGAATAAACAGCCTTTGAGCTGGATGTGGTGACACATGCCCATAAACCCAGTGACTCTGGAGGCTGAGACAGGAGGATCACAAGTTCTAGGCGAGCCTCAGCAATTTATTAAGATCCTCAGCAACTTAGCAAGACCCTGTCTTAAAATGAAGTAAAGCTGGAGAAGTGACTCAGGTAGAGCACCTCTGGGTTCAATCTCCAATGCTGAAAATTCAACCCAATCCAACCCCACAAAATCACAATAACAACACTAAAACAAAACAGTATTTGATATAGCAAGAACTCAATAGATGTTAGCTATAATGATGCATTATATACATGAGATCAGAAGAATGAAGGATGAAGATTATGCTATTTATATTGTCAATCAGTCTCACTAAATTCTCCTGGTAGTTCTAGTTCCCAAATTCCTCTTTTTGGCATGTTCTGGCTTTTCATCCTTCATAAGAACATTATTTAAAATCTTGCCTTCTTCTCTTCTCCTAGGGGGCTTTCTCTTTGATCTTTTTACTACTGTAGGAAGGGAATATGTATATGGAAGGGTGTAGTCATATCCTTAATGTATTAATGCTAATTGAATCTGCATGAGTACTCAATTTTCCCCCTAATTCTTTCTTAAACAATATAGTCTTATTTACTACAGTGCACTAAGCATTATCACTTATGGGCTTGTATATTAATCATATTCATGTAAAGTTTTATATGACTACAACAACACTAAATCATACCTCTACTGTCCTACATCACTTTCCTTCAGATGTATTATTATAAGCGTCTCATCTGTTCTGCTACTTTCAAATCTCTCATTTGCTTTCCCAAATGATTACTGAAATTCTATAATTCAGGAAAGTTTACTTTTCCTCATTTAGCATGCATATGGCTATAAGATTACTCTTTTACTCTTCCTAAGTAGTACTTTAATTATAAAACTAGCACCATCAAAAAGATTATTGGTTCTCATTGTTTTGAAATGTGCAATTTCATAATCTAGAATGTGCTGCTCTAATTTGGCTATATACCATATTTCCAGAATTATGTCCCTGTATGTTCCTATTTTTAATAAATATTTATTCAACTTTAATACTGTCTGCTCCATTGCCCATCCATAACCTCCTTCTTAACTCCTGGCAGTCTGATAGCCTCCTTCATGTTACTGAAACCAGCCTTATGAGGATCAGTAAATATAAATAGCATAATCTTCATCCTTCTGATCTCTCTGCATCATTTTTGACTGTTCACTATTTCCTACTTCCTGAGAAATACTGTAAATAGAGGGATGTGCACAGATTGTCATCTTTCTCCATGGTAATGTCTAATTCTATAGGCTGGAATTAAAGAAGACACCTCTTCAAATAAAAATTCTAACTAGTGTCATTAACACAGGGAAGGGCATAAATCATCAATGCCTGGAGGTTAGAGGACAAATTAGGACTAAATGTCCAATTTAATTCTAAATATATGCAGAAGTCTGATTGACAAAACTTGTTTTGGCATTCTGTTGCCTGTTTCATTAATGGTTTTCTTCACTCCACTTCACACCTTCAGACATAATTTACTGAGGATGATTTTTTAGGACCATTTAACTTGCTAAATCCTACTGTTATACACCAGATATTAAAATTTCTAATATGAAGTAATTCCAAAGGAGTCAGCAACTAAATCTCTTGGTTACTGACACAGCCATCTATTTAAAAAACTATTTCCAGTTCTCTAATCTTATCATATACAAAATTAAAAAAATTATTTTTACCATTAGTAGCATTTCATTCTTAGCACTTTTTAACATGTTATAGTTCTCTGATCATCTTCAGTATCTACACCTCATTTTCTTAATTAATATTTGTTAAAACACTTTAATAAGGGCTTCTACGATTATAATCAATTTCCTGAATCTGAAGTTTGTATTTCTGTGAATTCTTATATTGGTTTAGGAAACAATGATTCTATAATGTAGTGGTACCTTATCTTCTGGAGATCAAGGTAGTGCATCTCAGTATATCATTAGTCCTGATGATTAGCCCTGGCAGGTATGAACTCATCTCAATTGAGAATGTTCTTATTCTCCCTCATAACTTCAATAAAGACAATTATTTTCAACAACTGTCCTACCATAAATGCTGCTTTTTATTTTTTTATCTTTTTTAGTAATCATTTCTTTCAGGATAAAAAAAATTAAAATTATAACATTAATTTTCTTTGTTCCTAAACATTGATAGACTCCAAAAAACTTTCATATCTTTTATTGCAAAATAGCCAATGAGGAAAGGTCCAAGTTTCACATACTAGAAAATAAGGGCTCAAGGATTGACCCAGGGGTTAAATTCAAGCTCAATGCTTACAATTAAAAAAAATGGAAGTGAATAAAAAAAGTTTCTGAGAGAAATGTCAAAAATTTTAACAGTTGCTGTCTACTACTTTAAAATTTTTCTAACATCCATATGTACTTCTACAATTGCTTCTTTCTACTTTCATGAATTTTCTAATATGCATATGTATTCCCTTTAAAGAAAAATATTCAAGAACAAGTTGACTCCAGTTTCCAGGTGTTTTTCATTATACTACTCTATGTCACTGACAGCCTAAAGTCAAAGATAGTTTTAAGGTTCCTGAGAAAGTATCTTTTACTATTGGAGTACTTGATAGAATCTCATAGGCAGCAAAGTGGGTTTTTGTTATCTACAATACATCTCCAACTCCTCTACCCCCGCCCTTTACAGGGCCACCTACTCCTATTTAGCTATTTTCTGCCTTCATACCTTCCTATGGCTGTCCAAAGACCTCATACTGTGTCATTTTCTCGCGGATATGGTCTCCTGTAGATTTCTACCTTTCCAGATCCTTTTCAGTTAAAACATTCACATGCTGAGCCACTTCTATGTGAAGTGTTGGGAGGAACGCAAAGCAGGTACTTGGACTTATGCAAGTTCAACTCTCATCATATTTAAATTTGTTATGCATGTTCCTAACTGTGCTGTTTCCTGACTATTCTGGGTTGCCATGTCTCTCATCTAGCCCCCATTGCCCATCAAATTAACACTCCACTTCTGAAACATTGCCTGTGTTCGATCCTAGCTTCCTATGGCAATTTCTTCTGAGAACTGAGGCTTAATATTCACTA